TCCCATACTTTTCCTTTTTGAAAATTATTTTTGTGATTCATTTTCATTTCTCATTTCAGGTAAGCTCCTTAAAACATTTATTATTTTGACCAATATTACTAAGAGGGCTACTGTTTTTCTTGTTTTTACAAGTTTACCCTAACCTGAATTGGGTTTTATGGGTCAGACCCCAGGACTTTATGGGACAGTCCATTTTTATGCCACTCCTGGGACAGTGGGCACAAACAGAATACTAGAAGCCAAGTCCCACCTCCTTCAGAGTTCCTGTGAGGTGCTGGCCCTGCAGAATCTGGGAAAGTCAGGCCCCACATGACACTGGGCCAGAATCAGGGTGGAGATCTTTCAATGAAAGTGTTGGGGAAAGGGCACCTCCCACCTGCGCCCAGATCCCAGAGCCCTGGTCCCGGGCACCCATGCGGGGGTGTGCTCCTTACCGGAACTGTCTCTGCAGTCTCCTTTTTGGCCTTTGGGTCCTGAAGGTCCGGGGGCCCCTATATTGCCTGGAGGCCCTAACTTTCCTGGTGGGCCCTGCAAGCCTCGAAGCCCTTCACCTGTTGAGAGACCAAGGGAAGGTGAGCCAGGGTTTACTGCTCACTACCCTTCTCCAAAAGCTCAGCAAGTGATTCGCCCCTTCCTGGGGCCATCACACATCACTATGTGGAGATGGGGTTGCGAGAGCAGGAGGGTCCTTGGACTGGGAAGCAGTGACCTTCCCTGGGGATTACGCTGATGGGCTGGCCTCCCTGAGAACCAAGAGGGCAAAAGCCGAGACTCCCCAGGTGTTGTACCCACTCTCCTATGTGACAGTCTCCCGAGGGAGGCAGGGCTGCCCCGTACCTGGATCTCCTTTCTCCCCCTTGGGTCCATCTCGTCCATCTCTGCCTGGGGTGCCATTGGTGACAGGGATGCTGCAGGCCACCACGGAACAGGTTTTGTGGGCCTCCTCACAGGCTGTTTCTGAGCAGCATGCTCTCACCAAGCACAGGAGAAGGACAGGGAGCCACAGAAACAGCATCATGCTGGTACTGGAGACAGCAGGCAGAGCTGATCCTGTTGCTGGTATATGTACTCCTCACTCCTAACCCACCTCTTGGATGGAGCAAACTGCCCTTTAGTTTGCAGATGATCAGTTGGATCCAGGAAGGACACAACTGCCCCAGATCAATAGACAGAGGCTCACGTGGACATGCTGACCCCACAATAGCCCTTGCCTGGACTTCAAGAGGTTCAGGCTAGGAGCCAGACTCCCCGCCCAGCCCCACCACTTTCCTCTGGATATGACTTACAAGGCTTCTGCACAACACAGAGACTGTGGCAGGGAGGATGGCCCTTTAGCACAGGCTGCTGGCAGCTGTGCCCCCAATGCTGAGACCAATTAGCCCAGTGACCAGCAGCAGTACTGCACTGGCCTTCAACCCCAGATTAATAAACAACTATCCTCTAGCCTAGGACCTCTGCAGCTGGGCCAGTCTCCAAGCTGCTGGGGGTGGGGGCTCCAGAACAGGGCAGGACAGCTCTGTGCTTTCACACCCTCAGCCACTCCTTTGGCTGTCCTCTCCCATCCATCCGTGCATCCACCCATCCATCCATCCATGCATCCATTCATCCATCCATGCATCATCCATACACCCATCCATGCATTCATCCATCCACCCATCTGTCCACCCACCCACCCATCCATCCATCCATCCATCCATCCATCCCCACAGCTTAGCTGGCATAATCTGCTAATGTCTTAGGCTTCTGACGTATTCCCTCCAGATATTATTTCCCAGAAACTCCATAACCACCATACCAAACATAACCATGTTCACATACATACATACAAACACACATTGGGAAGTGGCAAGAGAATGTCCAGTTGGGAAGGGTAACAAGGGAAGGAGAAGAAAGAAGGGAGGGGGGAATGGGAACTTTTAAAAAAGAATGAAAGGAAAACAACAGAGACAAGTTTGCACATAGAGAGAGGAAGAAGTGTTGAAGAGAAGGGAGGAAAAAAGGAAAAACAAATTAAGATATATTTTGTAAGGTATAGATTCCCTATGATGAATGTGATCATTATTTTAAGAGTATATCAATAAATCAATTAAAAAAAAATAAAAGGAAAAGAAAAAGTACACACTACCAGGGATTGAACTCAGGCCCTTGTGCTTGCCAGGGAAGCGCTTATTCCACTGAGCCATCTCCCCAGCCCAGTACACACTACTGTTTCAGTTTTTCTGATTAGTTTACCACTTTATTTGTATTTATTTTTTTATTGTCTGGGTGAGGTGGGGAGATGAAAGACCTACCATCCTGGGTCACCTGGTTCCTTCTTCTCATTCAGAACCTTTATCAAGCATCATCTCTAGATATTACTCATAAGGCTGGACACGAGGGGAAGATACTTGTAGACAAGTATCGAGGCAGAGTATAAGCATTTGCACAGTGGTCCTCTCTGCCAGATATTTCCTCCTAGCTTTGCCTTCTTAGCTGCTGTCATCACAATTTTAGCTAAAAATATTACCTCAGGAGGAAGACTGCTCCTAAACATTTAATTTCAAGAAATTCCTCTGTTGATAAATTATAATCTCTGATCCTTTTTTATTTATGTATTTGATACAGGGTCTTGCTGTGCAGCTCAGACTCATAGAGCTCCTCCTAGTTCAGCCTCCCCAGTGCTGGGATGATAGGCATGTCCCACCACACCTGGTTTTGGTGGTCAGGTCAGGACACTCAGGAGGGAGTCGGCACGGCATGCAGTACTGAGGATCAAACCCGGGTTCCTGTGCTTGCCAGGCAGGGGCTTAGACCACTGAGCTGAGCTATCTCCCCAGCTCTCTGACCTAATTTTTAATTTTTAGTATTTATTGGTATATCTTTTTTTTTTTTTTTTTTGCGGAACCGGGGATTGAACTCAGGTCCTTACGCTTGCCAGGCAAGCGCTTACTCTGCTGAGCCATCTCCCCAGCCCCTATTAGTATATCTTGTGGCAGGCAAGATGATATTGACGGGGAGTTGGTACATTCATAAAACACATCTTACTTCTTTTTACAGCCCGTTCTCCTCACCTCTCTCCCCATCCCTTCATATATTGGTCCCCTTTCCTTCTGATAAAGCTCTAACAGTTTATTTATTAATAAATAAATACAAATAAAGTTGTAAACTAGTCAGAAAAACTGAAACAGTAGTGTGCACTTTTTTCTTTTCCTTTTATTTTTTAAATTAATTTTAAAATTGATATGCTTTTGAAATTATTATTGTCCCTGATTCTTTTTATTTATCTTTTATCTTGGTCTTTACTTATAGTTGGAGATTTTATATAAGAGAAATTCTGTGACATTTAAACTTGTGTGTCTGATTTAGTTTACTTAATATTATGGTCTCAAGATACATCCATTGTCCTGCAAATGACTGAAGTTTGTCTCTTTATGGCAGAGGAGAGCTCCATTCTGTATAAATGGCACATTTTCTTTGTCCAGTCACCTGTTTTTTTTTTTTGTTTTTGGTATGAAAGATTGAACTCAGGACGTTGCAGTTGCCAGGCAGGTGCTTATGCCACTGTGCTATGTCCCCAGTCCTTATCCATTCATCTGTTGATGGTCATATAGGCCATTTCTAAGATGTAGCTGTTATGAATTGTGTAGTAATAATCATGGATATACATGTATTATTATGCTGTGATATCTTTAAATCTTTCAGAAAGATATTTAGCAGGGCCATAGCTAGGTCACATGGAATTTCTAGTTTTAAGTTTTTGAGGAATTCCCATATTGATTTTCGTATGTACTCGTTTACATTCCTACCAACTATATGCAGTGGTTCCTTTCTCCCCAGCCTCACCAACATTTCTCATTTGATTTCTTGTGGATGTCCACTCTTTGTGGAATAAGACGGAATCTAACAGTCATCTTAATTTCCATTTCTCTGATAGTCAGAAATGTGGAACATTGTTTCATGTGTCTATTGGCCACTTCTACTTCTTCTGAGATGAGTCTGTTCTGCTCAGCGGCCCACTTTCCGATGGCTCTCTTCACCGTTGTTTGTCTCTGTCTGAAAGTGCTCATTGGCTGTCTGTCCAGGGCAGTTTTGTGAGGGCGGGGCCGTCAGTCCCGCAGCTGGACGCCCCTGAGTGAGTCCCCGCAGTGTTCACAGAGCCCGATGGCCTCACAACGTCCAGCTGGCTTCTCTACAGCTACCGTTAATGCTTTTATCCGTGGTGTGACTGTTCTCGAGCCAGAGCTGTTTTCAATTCCGCGTTCTTTCCCCCGAGGTGCAGCCCAGGAGGGGGCACATGGGAGGCCCTGGGTAAAGAAGCAGAGCCCAGGAGCAGAGAAGATGCCGGGGCGGACTGCAGCTCCTAGAGGCCTGGTTTCCCAAGCACCCCATGCTTATCACCAGAGCTTCCCCAAACTCACATTCACTCCTGAAACACTTTATGTCACCAAACAACGCCAAATGTTTGCACTTTGCTTGGCAAGGAGCAGGACCGGGTCACTTCCTTTTGACTCTTTTATGGTTGATGTTTGGCTTCTCAAGGGTCATCAGCATGTGTACCTTCAAGGTGCTATGCCCAGGCCACCAGCCATCCCCTTCCTGTCACAGGGAAGCTGCCAGGTATCAAGAGGGCCCCATGGCTCAGAAGCCCACTTTCAAAGCTGTGTTTCTGATTCCATGCATACACGTTTGCAGGACCTGTTAATTCAGGATGCGTAAGTCCAGAGGACAGAGGACATTCAACATGTGTATCAAGCAGGCAACCTCGTGAAAGAGAGGAAATTTGAAATGGAGGCATGTACATAAAACCAGGACCCTTGTAGAGGCTTAAAGAACTGGTGGAAAAAGCTTCTTTCTTACAGATATGGATCCATAGCACTGTAGTTGTATAAAATCTGGGATTTGGAATTTATGCTGGTATTATTATTGTCACTGTTAGCTATTCATGCAAAGATGAAAAACTGCATTTCAAGCGTCCCAGCTCCTCACAGCCTAGTACACTGTGAAGACATAAAGCAATAGAAACCCCTACCCTGAACCCAAGTACCCTGGGGTTTTCTCAAGATTAGACAAATTAGGCCCACTTTGAAGAAAAATCACCAAACACAGTAATAGATAAACACAGTGTGAGGTAATCTAAACCACAATATGTTGGTGATATTAACATTATAAAATTATACAATGTGCATTCATTTTACACAATATATTTAAAAACTAGATAAAATAGATACTAGAAGGAAATTTAGAATTACTTAAATTGGCCTAAGAATTGTAAGAATATTATATCATTGATTAGCAAGTATAGAAACAGAATTGAAAAATAATAAACTAATGGAATAGGTGGTTCAGGGGACATCTGAACCTCTTCCCACTTCCTGTTTATCTATCATCAATTTTGCTCCTCATAGGCATATCTAAATATTCTTTTAATTTCTCATATAAGCAAAGCCATGCAATATTCAAGCTTGTGACTTATCTCATTTAACATTATGTTCTCAAACTGCATCTATTTACCTACAAACTTCTCAAGCTTATCCTTCTTTATGACAGAGAACAACTCCATTGTATATAATTTTGTGTAAACACATTTGCCTCAAATGTTTATTTATTGATTGACACAAATGCTGTTTCCAAGCTATTGAAAATGGTGTTACTATAAAGGTGAGAATTCATATATCCTTATAATAGTTGATGACCTTAACTTTTTTTAGGGGTATAGCTGGGCCAAGTGGAATTTTTATTTTTAATATGTATGCCAATTTGTTTCATTTACACTGCTTTATTTATACTACTTTTGCTCATTGGAAAGAAAATTTTGTGCTAACATATTTGTTTCTTCTTTGAAGGAATCTTTTTCCATGTCTTTTACTGAGTACTTTGAACATAATAAATACACAGTGCATTACCTGTTGTTATTTTCTTATTTTTCTCTGAAAATTTATTTTATTGTTCTTAAACTAGGAAATTTCAAAGAGAATTACCAACTACCCTCCGTATCACTCCAAGTAGTTTTAAGTTGCATTTTACCAAATCTTCAGAGAAGAAGTAATTCCTCTCCCGTATAAATGGCTCATAGCCAAAAAAGGATCTTAACTAAAATGATAAGCTAAACATGTCAGTAAGAACAGACAGCTGGGTGAGGTGGAACACACTGTCAACCCAACACACAGGAGGCTGAGGCAGTACAAAGTGAGTTCAAGGCCAGTGTGAACTGCATAATGAGAACCTGACTTGAATAAATAAATAAATAGAAATATAGACCAAAGGAAGGGAAGCATGTCATTCATAATTGAAGATGTAAAAATGTAATTTTAAAATGGCTATGAAAAGCCAATAATACAATGGTGATTAATAGCCTAGCCTCCGTAATCTCACTATCTACATTCATTCCATAAATTAGCTGCATGATCTTCACCAAATCACTTTAATTTCTATGTCTCAATACTATTCATATTTATAATTGGGAAGAATAATATTATCTGTAGATTGGCATTAACAGAGGTTACATGAATTAATACAAGTGCAGTACCTGGCATATATTAAATAATGAGATAATCAGTCATCAGATCAAGCAAGGGGTCTCCCAGGGATGCAAGGATAACACAATATCAAAAATCATGAAATTTACTAATTTAAAATAAGGTTTATTGAAAGTCTGAATTCAGGTCAAGTCTGAAGCTTGGCACTCACTCTGTTCTTGAAACTAATACATAGCCTTGGACTCATGTTCATAACATGATCTTCCCAGACCTCCTTAATACCTAAAACTTCTGGAGTTGTTAAAACACAGTTCAAATGTAGAGTTTGCCCCCAAGTTTACTCATTAAGATCTTCAGTTTCACATCAGATTCATGGCCAGTAGGGACACAGAATGGCACTAGGTGGAAGCAGGATGGGCAGTGGCCTGCTCACCTGCTCCCTTCTTTGTAGGTGTAGAGAGTGTAGAGAATGCCAGGGCCAAAGGTGGGCAACATTGCTCAAGCCTACAACATGCCGTATCTTCAACGAAAATTTCACACAGTGCATTAAGAAACTCTTGTGTCACTGAATTTCTTCAACAATGTAGAGGACTCCTGGGCATTATAAAAAGATAAACGTCCAAATACAGGGAGTGTGACTACCATAAAGGAACAGGAAACTATTCCACTGTTGGTACAGATAATCATGTTTATGAAACAGGAAAACATCAATTATATTAAAAGTATGAGGAGAGAGAAAATGAGAATCTAAAATATATATTTGGGTACTATAATATAAAAAAAAAACTAAGCTAAGTTTTCTCACAAACCACCAGTAATTAATTTTAAAACAGGGGATTAAAGTAGCAGATAGAACCTGAAGAGAAATGATAAGACATCTATTTTCAAAAGCTTATCCTGAAAACAGGAAATACGTATTTCTCCTTGTTGTCTCTGCAGATTGGTAGCACAATAATACACATTCTGGGCCCTGAAAACATGTGCAGGGTGATAAGATGAAAAAATAACATTCACACACACAAAAAGAGAAATAATACCCTTCATTCCCATTTTGTTTTCTGAGTTTTGTTCTACAGCATTCTTCTGCCTAAGCAAAGAAGTAATGCAGGTGAGAGAATGTGTTGAAAGGTGTCGAGCTGGGAGGAGATGGAGATTTCTGGAGATAAAAGGTCAATGTGGTTGCCCTCCAAAGGGGCATGGTCCCATCCCCACATAGCCCTTGGCAGGAGGCACAGTCTCAGGCTCTGCAGGCCTGGGGACTCCACCCTGAGTGCCAATTCCAAGCCATCCTGGTGGCCAAGTAGAGGATGCAAGGCAGGCTGGAACCATCCACAGTGGATCACATGACCTCTGACCTGGAGTTACCCTGACAATGACATCCATATATTCTTGATGTTTCTATAGCTCCCCTCCCAGCTGTGTGCCCCTGGAGAAGCCAGATTGCCCCTCCCACGAAACAAGGAAAGCATAACCTGAGATTGAAACTCCCATTCTTCCTGCAACTGGGGACTCAGGATCAGAGCTAACTTGATCTATAGATACAGAAACACGAGGTTCCTTGAATCAAAAGCAGCAGAGAGACTCATGTTAACACAGATGATTTATTGCACCTAAATAATGCTACTCAGCTTAAGGGTGGGGTGGTTCCAAGTGTGAACTTCAGGTCAGCGTAGATGGGTTTGAATCCAGCCTCTGCTACTTGTGAATGTAACAATATTAAAGATATGTAACCTCTGCAAGCCTCAGCATCCTTATATGAAAAGTGGAGAAAGCAATACTCATTCATGGCTCTGGGAGAGTAAATGATATTTATTAAGAAACACTCAAGGTGCTTGTCAAGGTGCTCAACATACAGCATGTGCTCAAGGAACAGACTCCGCAGCAGCACTAGTGGCTGTAGTAATGTTTGTTCTCAGAATGATGTTAATATTTTGACAGTAACAAGAATCTGATTTCAATTTCAAAAATGCACAAATAAGCCCAGAGAAAACAAAATTCCCAAAGGCACAAGGTACCCACACTGAGACACAGTCTAAAACCTGGCACTCAGATGATTTTAATGAAATAGCTGAGTAAATGAATTAACAATAGACAAGAAAAGAGGCCATGGTGCGGTTGGTGGGGTGAATGCCTAACTGATGTCTGAAGTGGGCAGGGATGTGGATGTCAGCAGGAAGTTTGTTGGCTCGGGTCTGGGGTAGAAGAGATTCTTCCTACAGCCCTATGCTGAAGTGGAGGAACTTTTACCCTAAAACTCAAGGGAGTGGATCATACTTGCCAAGTACTAGGGTTGTATCCCCTCATCACTGTGCTGGGCACCACCTGGCTCCCCACCTTCCCAGAGACTAAGTCATCCCCAGACATCCCGTGTCCTTCAGACTTCACATTTGGGCTTTTCCGGAAGTCTTCCTATTCTACTATTATGTTTAACCAGGACTGCTAAATTGTGATGGGACATGATAGAGGAAGATGTTCTGTGTGCAATTTTAGAGGGTCCTTCCATCCTGGGACCTCACTGTTACCATCTATAAATGAAGGAGCCAGACAAGATGAGGAAGAAGGGGGGTCTCTGCCCTACATAGAAGGCCAAGATTGGGAGTGGCCCCACCTACTGCGTCAGAATTCCAAGGGAGCATCAGGATGGATTGCTGAGTGTGAGGCAGTCAGCCCATCTAAGGCATCAAGGGACTAAGGACACAGCTGGCTGTAGTAGCCATAAATCAATTTAGTTGGGAAGGAATTTCAGCACCTCATACACCAACTGGACTGTCAGGGTGGAGAATGGAAGGCAAGGTGATTTGACCTGTCTTTTGGCCTCAGGGCCTGCTTAGAACTCACAGATGCTCAGGCGGTACTGCAGGCAGTTCCTGTCATTCCATGTCCCATCTGAGTATATCTCCACACATTTCTCATTGCCTCGACCCCTGGGTTCCCCTGGGTACCAGTTGGTGTAGTTTATAGGGGCCCCATCCAAGTAGTAGAAGTCCCCAGGGGTGTGGCCCTCTGTCAGGCCCAAGTATGCATAGACGTTATACTTCTTCACGATGCTGGCAATGGCTGCATTCTCCTCTGGACTCCTAGGGGCAGCAATGTCACCACCGGCTCTGGCACAAGTCTCCTTAATGGCATTAAAGTCTGCTGACTGTCCATTAGTAGCGAAGACCTTGTCCCCCACTGCCAACATGGATCCCTGCAAACGGAGAACTAAGAGCAGAGGAGTTTGGGTCAGGCCACCAACTTCTGTCTATACTCATCATATTCCACCAGTTCCTACTACCAGGCTATCCCCAGTAACTTTATTTCTGCCTCTTTGCTCTGTGTCTGTTGTGTATGTGTGTGTGTGTGTGTGTGTGTGTGTGTGTGT